CCCCCGCCACTACCACCTGCTGGGCCTGGGCGTGCCATCACTGGGCCTCAGTTTCCCCTCGGTGATAGCAGCCGCTGTCTCTGATTGAACCGTGACTGTTATATAGGACTGGACTCTTCACGGTCTTACCATACTTAACCCTGTGAGGCTGGGACTGACATTCTATCCATTTCACTGATGGGGAAACAGGCTTGGAGGTGACGGGGATTGGTGGCGGATAGCGAGGGAGAAGTTCTTCAGGCTGTTTCTTCTTGGCGGGGCCGAGCCGGGCCGGGGGCCGTGTGGGGGCCGGGCGGCGGCCGGGCCGGCGGACGGCGGGATGGGCTGCACCGTGAGTGCCGAGGACAAGGCGGCGGCCGAGCGCTCCAAGATGATCGACAAGAACCTGCGGGAAGACGGCGAGAAGGCGGCGCGGGAGGTGAAGTTGCTGCTTTTGGGTGAGGCCGCGCCCTGCGCTGGGACCCCCGATTCCCCGCCCGAATCCCCAGACAAGGACTTTGACCTCCAGACTGAGGACCTTGAACTCCCGGACTCAGCCTGGACCCCCCACACCTGGACTTGAACTCCCAGACCCCGCCTGGCCAGGACACCCAAATAATGGTTCAAAACTCTGTGTTGGCCTAGACCTCTGATCTGTAGCCCAGACTCTAGGTTAGACCCTCAGCTCGTCGCAGACTCCAAACCCCCAGATCCAGAACCCTGCTTGACCATTCACCCTTGCTGACCAACCTCACAGACCTTCAGAGTCCCTGCCTTGTCCTTCCATCCTTCCCTAGACTTTACTCAAAGCCCCAGAACCCCACTTGGTCCCCACCCTTAGGCACCACCTGTTTCCCCCACCTGCTCCTCTTGTTCCTTTTGGGCATGAATATCCCTGGGGCCCCTGCCAGGCCCCCACCCACTCCCTCCTTCCCACTCTGTGCCCCATCCCTACTCTGAACCCTGTATCCTCCACCTGTGCACCCTGACACCAGGGTACCTCTCAAGTGGAAACTGTGGTTGCTCATGAGCCCTCTCTCCAGCCGGAACCCCCAAACCTTTAGAGATCCCTGCTCCCTCCATCTGGCCCACCTGGTCCCTCTCTGTACACAGTACTCCTCAGACCCTCTGCTCCTCCTCCCTAAGTCCTCTCCCACACTTTGGCCTACCTCTGATTCCCCCCACCCCTCCTGCACCGGGTGGGCCCGGCCGGGAGGAGGGGGCTCAGACTGAGGGGCTGGACTGAGGCTCCACTGGTTGCGCTGGGGGAGGGAGCCAGGCCTCCAGCCTCCCAGGGAGATTCCGCCGGCTGGCTGTTTCCCAGTTTCTAAGCCCCATCTGGGCCAGTGAGGGGGGCGTCTGGGGAGTAGGAGGGAGTGTGAGTGTGGAGGAGTTTGGGTTGCGGCGCCTCCAAGGCCAGGGAAGATGGTGGCTGCTTGAGGGGTGGGGGGAAGTGGAAGTGGTGAGGCAGCCGACATATTGGTGCCCCGGCCGGCGGGCGGGCCAAGGAGATGTGCTGACGGGTGCTGGTCTTCCCGCACCCTTTCTGGGCCGAAAGGCCACGGACTTGGCCTCTGGGAGTGGGGGGGGGCCTGTCAGATCGTGAGGCCCTGTGAGGGGGAAGGGGTGGACCAGCTAGATGAGGACTTGGGGGCCAGCTGGAGTTGGGGGGCATCTGAGGTGGACTTTTGCAAAGACTGTGGGCCTGGTAGTTGTCCCCGTCCAGCCTCCACTGGGAGCAGGTGTGGTGCCCGGTGGCTGCCTGATTCAGGGGCTTGGGGGTGGGGGGAGAGATGCCCTCGCAGCAGCGTCGGGGCCTGGACAGTGTATGGGGGGGGTGTGGCCCCTCAGCCTCAGAGCCGCGGTGGGGTCCCCAGGCTGTGAAAAGCAGAGCTTTCCTTGCTGGGTGCCTGGCCGAGGGACAGTGTGTCTTCCATCTGAGCCCATCTGTTGACTGTCCCTGGGGGCCTGGCCTCAGGGGCACAGCCCAGAGGTTTCAAAATGGCATCCGTTCCGCCGCCGCTGCGGGTAGGAAGAGAAGGGGCGGGAAGGGGCGGCGGCCCAGCCTCCTGGGCTGTTTTGCGTTGGGCGCTTGCCTCTTCCTGTCTTTACTGCGAGTGCGGCAGCACCAGCGAGTGGGTGTCGCCAAGGTGGAGGGCCCGTTGCTGATGCCCGCTGGGCCTGGGTAGGGTGCTTCCGCCGTCTCCTGGTGCCCACCCTGAGGCCGCTGGCTGGCCCCTTCCCAGGCCGATCGGCTGAGGAGATGGGCGACTGGGCCATAGGGCCGGGCTACAGAGGACTCCTGGCCCTCTGTGTCCCAAACCCCATTCCACTAGTCTTGCTCCTTGGAGCTCAGCTCAGGTTTTGGGCCTGGCAACCCTTCCCACACTGGGCTGGCAGCAGCCAGGGGTGCAGGGTCTGGCTCAGCATTTTCTAGGCTGGGGAGTCCATCTCAGCATCCTGCTCCTCTGGCCTTTGCTTCCTCTGTTGAATGGGCTTCCTGGGTTTGGGCCAGAGGAGTGCTGGGCCCAGGATGGGGAGAACAGGGAGGTCCCTGTTGGGGGTAGGGGATGGGAGCTAAGACCCCGCAGAGGGTGTACCGCAAGGGGCTGAGAGACCTACCTCTGCCTGAAATCGGGGACCCAAGGCTGCATGGGTAAGCGTCCTGGCTAGCCATCCCTTTCCCATCCAGGTATACAGGGAGGTGTTGGGAGCCCAGCTGGGGCAGCTTCAGAGTGCTGGGCGCCTGTCCCACGTAGCGGGAGGAACTCTGTCCAGGCAACGGGCCTCTTCGGTTGGGAAATTTGCCAGCCTTCCCTTCCAGCCAGAACCACGCCTGCTGCCCCACCCGCATACTGGCTCCTTGCCCTCCTGGGTAGCCCTGCTGGCGGATGGGCACCGAGGGCAGAGGCAGATGGGGTACACACCAGTGAGGGTGTTTTTCCTGGTAGCTTGCTGCTGATACCAGCCCTACTTCAGGGACACCCCCCACCGCCACCTAGTTCAACCTGACTGACCAACAATCCCCAGGTGGAATTTAGGGCCTTGGGCTGGGCACTTAAGGGAAAGGAAGAGTGTGTGTTTGGGGGATGTCTCTGATTTGGGATGGGCTTGTGTGGGCAGCCTCCAGAGAAAGGAGAGACTTTCCCTGGTGGGTTCCATGAAGGCTTCAGGGTATAAATAATAGGCCTTCTCTCTTGTCCCTGGGACTTTGCATCTACTCACCTAGATTGGCATGCATTTCCCTTCTTTCCATCTAACTCACTGCTACTTGATTGTTCTTCAAGACTCTGCTCGGGGACCACCTCCCAGGATCCTTCCTTGACAGCTCCCCTTCTCAGAGGCTGCTGAAGCACCTCCTCTGGCTCGTGGTGCTAGAGCTTCCCCCATCAGAGCATCATATTTGCCTGGGTGACTGCTGCCTTTCCTTGAGACTACAGGGGCAGGCTGTGTCCTGTTCGTTTCTGAGCCTTCTGTAAGGCCAAGCATGGAGCCTGGCACCTATTGAATGCTTCTTGTCTGTTTGTTGAATGAAGGAAGTGTTACTAGTCTGAACTCAGTCTTGGGGACGGGTGGGTAGATGGAGGAGTAAGATGGCGGTCACCGAACCTGACGTATTGTGGGCAGGTGGCAAGGGCTCAGTGTCGGGCCAGTGACGGGGATTGGTGGCGGATAGCGAGGGAGAAGTTCTTCAGGCTGTTTCTTCTTCAACTCCCCACCTGCCCGCTGGCTCCTCAGAGACAGCCCTCATCCCACCCTGTGCAGAACTTTTGCTGATGAGTCCGTAGCCTGTCACAGGGCAGAGCACAGAGGGCCTCCAGCCGTTCCTAGCAGAGTGGCGTGGCATGCTTCCTTGCAGCGCAGGCGGTCTGGGGACTGCTGCAGGCCTGCTATCTTCGCTGCTCCAGGAGAGCGGGTCTAGTTCTCAGGGCTGGGACTGCCCCACAGCCCTGGGGCTCAGGCCAGAGCAATGCTGCAGGAGTTCTTGGCCTGGCCAGGCAGGGACTGCACATACAAGGGCTCAATTAGGTTTACCAAAAGAAAAAGAAGGGAGTTTTGTGGTCTCTGTCCTGTCTGTGTCTCTAACAAATGGCCTGGCATTCAGTAGGTGCCTATTAAGCATGTATGGAAAGAATGACACTCTATAGAGCGCATCCATGAACGGGGGGTAAGTAATTCTGGGGCCGTTGCTTGGCGCTTGGTCTAGCTGGAAAAGGGTAGCCTGGGATCCTGGTTGGCTGGGTAATGGGAAGAGACTGAATAGAGTGTGTGGGGGGGGGGGGGGGTGGGGGCGGTCCTCTGGGTGGCTTTGAAAAATGAGCAGCATTTGCCAGGGGGTAGGTATGGGGCCGAGGGACCAACTCAGCGAGGGCACTGAGGCCGGAAGGCCTGGCCTGGGGGAGGAAGGCTCACCTCGTTGGACTAGCTCTTGGGGTCACACACACGTGGGTTCCAATCCCAGCTCCACCTGGTGCATTCGCTGGGAAACGCAGAGACAGATGAATGAACTCCTGTAGGCGTTCTGTTCCCCATCCGGAACCTGGGAACGGGGCACCTGCCTGCAGCCACAGGTGGGGGACAGTGCCCCAGAGCCTGGAGGTGTGAAAACAGGTGAGGGAGCCCCTCATGCCTCCTGCGCCGTGGAGAGTTTGGTGGGGAAGGCTCTCCCAGCCTCCAGGCTGCCTGGCCCCAGGATGGAGGCCCTGGGGGAACTCCCTCCCTTGCCCTCAGGCAGCTGCTCGCAGCAAGGAGGGGAACCGAGGTGTGCAGACAATTGGTGCCAGCCAGAGTGACAGACTGTCCTGGGGACCATAAGCCCAACCTCTGGGGACTGAGCGGCCTTCCTGGGGGCCTAAGGCTGGGGATGTGGCTGGGCTCTAGGCACCAGGTGGGCTGGTACCCAGGCCGGCCTCCCGCCTCCCCAATCTCCCCACAGCCTCCGGGGTCCCGGCTGGAGCTCATTAGCACTTGAATGGGGGGCGGGGTAGCTTGGGCCTCCCGTCTCTCCTTCCCACCCCTCCCCCAGGCTGGGCGAGGCTTTGTCTTCCCGAGCAGCCACACTGGGGCTCCCACGCTGGGAAGTGAGCAAGGGTCTAAGCCATTTCTGACCCCCTGTGCCTGCGTCCTGCCCAGTCCCGCTGGGCCCAGCCCCTGCCCCTAGTGTTGGTGCAGCCAACAGGAGGGACCTCTAGATAGGAGTGGGACTGGGTCCTTCAGGGGATACCCTGGGCCAGGAGACTGGGTGAACCGGGTGGCTTTGCAAAGGAAGTGACGCTGGCACTCAGCTGAGGGCATCCCAGGAGGGTAGGGGTGGAGAACCCCAGACAGGGCAGAGCAGGTGGCAAGGACAGAGGGAATGAGCTGCCTCCATAGCTGGAGGTGGAAGTCAGGCGAGCTGGGGAGCACAGGTTTCCATGCCAGGCCCCGAGGCAGCACCGA